GACTTCGCACACAGAACGCCATGACCAACAGAAAATACTGTGCTTTCTGATGGTCTTTGATGACCCCTTTGACACCCCCTCGTGACCCCCCTCGGGGTCCTGACCCCCAGGTTGAGAACCACTGCTCTAGAACATGGCCATATAGCATGAAAAAACCTACAACAACCCAAGAAAAACAGAGTTTCGAAGGCAGAGCCAGGGGTCCCTTGATTGCGTTGTGGGCCAAGGAAGGGTGACGGGGGAGTTTCCCAGATCCGACACTCTCCTCCTTACAGATATTGACATTTTGAAACTCATGCGCCAGTGTCACGTTGCCAGGGCTGTGCCGTTATTTCCATCAGAGGTGAATCAAACAAAAACCCAGTTTGATATAAAAGAGTTAATTAAAACTGCACTTACTTTCTGGCTGTTTTAATAGACCAAAATATAAAACATAAAGATAGCACTCAGCCACAGAATAAACAAAAACGGATAGCAAAAGCTACACCGTAGTCAAAGGGTCCGGTCCAGTGGTCAAACGCCGAGAGTTCAATAAACAAAGTCCAGGGATCAAGAGTCAAAAGCCAGTCCAAAGGTTCAGGTTCCAGGCTTCCAAGATTACAGGAGACAGGCCAGGATACCAAAAATCCAACAGACCTGGGGGGGAAACCAGCAGCATCCACCACCAAAATATGACAATACTTTTCTCCCGAAGATCACTTCCAAGGCTCGCTCCTTACATCCAGAGACACCCAGCTGCAACCCATCTCTTGCATCCCTCCACCCTTCATTGCTTTCACCCATGAACCCTTACTTACAGATTACTCAACCCTTTAGAACTAAGACTTACATTAACTCTTCCATCACCAAGCACCGTCAGCTGCAGAACATATGACAGCCAGCTGCGACCATACTTTGTGAAGTCTGACTTGACCACGGTGGTCCATGCCTTAGTTACCTCTAGACTGGACTATTACAATGCACTCTACGTGGGGCTTCCCTTGAAGACGTCCCGGAAACTCCAATTGGTCCAACGCTCAGCAGCCAATTTAATAACAGGGACAAATTACAGGGGGCGGTCAACCACCCCCCCCCCCGCTCCGTTTAAGGAGCTCCACTGGCTGCCATTTATTTTCCGGTCCCAATTCAAGGTGCAGGTTATCACCTATAAAGCCCTAAACAGTTTGGAACCCGCCTACCTTCGTGACCACATCTCCCCCCACAAACCTGCCCGTTCCCTTCAATCCTCGGGGGAGGTCTCCTTTCACCCCTTTCCTTATCACAGGTCCGTCTTGTGGGAACGAGGGAGAGACCCTTCTCCTCTCTGCCCCCCTGACACCACTCCTTCAAGGTCAATCCAGTCACTTCAAGGATCCCATGCACCAATCTTGCCCTTGGTCAGCCCCTCTTCCTTTTTCCTTCCATTTTCCCCAGCATCATTGTCTTCTCTAGGTGATCTCATGGACCATCCCAGGCCAGAGCTCCCTGTTGGCCGTCACCACCCCAGCTCCTTCAAGGTCAAGCCAGTCACTTCAAGGATGCCATCCATCCACCTTGCCCTTGGTCAGCCCCTCTTCCTTTTTCCTTCCATTTCCCCAGCATCATTGTCTTCTCTAGGTGATATTATGGACCATCCCAGGCCAGAGCTCCCTGTTGGCCGTCACCACCCCAGCTCCTACAAGGTCAAGCCAGTCACTTCAAGGATGCCATCCATCCACCTTGCCCTTGGTCAGCCCCTCTTCCTTTTTCCTTCCATTTCCCCAGCATCATTGTCTTCTCTAAGCTTTCCTTTCTTCTCATGAACCAGCAACTCATGGCTCTTGGAGTTTCCAAACTTCTTGTGCTGATAATCCCCTAACAAAGGACTCAACCAGATCCATTTGCATGGACAATAAATAAATTACTTTATCTATCTGGACCTCGGAGGGCTGATAGCCAAGCCACCCAGAACAATAGAGTCTATGGACATACTGGATCACCCAACATAAAGGACATTTCCCCATCTGAGAAGAACCGGGTATGCTGGGCCGCATCCTGATCTCCGAAACCAACCTCTGCTTCATCAATGAACTCCATATCGCAGGAAAATAAGACAAAAGGACCTGGTCTCTCGGGGGCCAGACAAAAATGTTAATTCAAGGGACGAAATAATAACACAGACCAGGTTTGAGAGCCTGAATGTTGCAACTCAGGGTAGTTTTCACCTTGCTCGAGACACCAACTCACACCAAGGTTGTAGGTTTTGTAGTTTATTGTAAAAAAGCAAAATCAAAACAGAGAGATAGAAATGCAAAGTTCCATAGGCAAAACAGAGTCTTAAATGTAAAGGCAAAATTCCCAAGATTGAAAAGCAAAACCATGAAGCTTAATCCCTAAGCAACGGTCAAACGAGAGTCCATGGTAAACAGGTACAAACAGGAACAAGATCCAAGTCTCAAGAAGCCAGAGGCGTGCTGCCAAAAGCCAAGGTAAATCCACAGAAGTTAACATGGGAAGAGTAACGTTGGACTGATGGGTTGCCTGCCGGTTGCATCATTAAATAGTTTCCCCAAACATAAAAGCATTGCGTTGACCCTTGGCTTCATGCCTGCTGGCCAGACGGGAACTTCTACAGACTCTTAATTGTAAACGATCTTGTCTAGTCATTGATTCAGTCTTATCATCAAGGCTAAGCAACTCATTATCTCCGGCCAGCTGGGCTTCATCAGTCTGGGAACCGGAAGGATCCACCTGAACTTGTGTAGTTGTTTTACTATCTTTATCTAAAGGCACATTCCGTTCCCCCAGGGAACAGGCTTGCTGTTTCTCCTTCAGAAGCCTCACTACCAGCCCCATCTGTAACATGTACAGAAACCTGTAACCCATCAGCCTCCTCGTCATCCTGCAAAAAGACAGGCTCAGGAGACCCAGCAGGCCCAGAAAGTTCAGACTCAGATTCAGGCTCAGACTCAACCCGGGGATCCTTGTCATTTGTTTACGTTCTCAAGGACTACAAGTATTGATTTGTTTACGTTCTCAAGGACTATAAGTATTGTCAATCCATTTACGGTCTTTAGGACTACTAATATCATCATTTGGAGTATATTCTGCATTTGAGACCATATGGACAAGATTTTAGTTCACTGACTGTCTCAATGACTATACATAATTTGTTTACGTTCTCATGGACTACAAGTATTTTCAGTTTATTTACGGTCTCAAGGACTACTACTATCAGCATTCGTAATATATTTTGCATCGGAGACCGTTGGGATTATATTTGAAGTTCACTAACTGTCTCAAGGACTAATATACAAGCAAGGAACTTTCTTTCTCTATTTTGTTTTGTGATTCACATGCAATGTTTGTTTGAATACACGTTGCAACTTCTATTGTGGTATCAGACTGAGTCACAACACTGAAGCGATCGCTTGGTCACTTGGCAAACACTGGCCATTCTTAATCCAGTCATCTAGCCTTTTTTTCTTTGTTTCCCTGTTGCCCGCCTCCCTTCCACCTCATTGGCTGAGCGGCCGAAACAGGGCCAGGGCCCTCATTGGATCTCTTCCTGCCTTGCTGACATCACAACTAATCAGCAGAAAGCCAGCCCAGGAGGTGGGCGTGGGAAGTTTGAATCTGACAGCTCTATAAATATTGTATTTCTCGGCCCAGTGGGTTATGTCGATTTGTTGGCAGATTACTGCAATTGTCATCCTTTCCAGCTGGAATGAAATAAATCCTCGGTGGCTTTTTCTTCAACTTGGTGAGATTTATTCTGGAATACTGGCTTCTCTTTCTCACCAGGCAACCCACAACGGCTTGCATCTCACTATCCGCAGCCATTCTAAATGGCTCGACAACACTGTCCCTTTGGCTGAGATGTCGGGGGTCTTGCCATTATTCTGGGAATGTTTCCTTCCATAGCCAGGATTTCACCAGCCTCCTGAAGGACAGGAGGGAGGGGCAGATCTGATCTTGGTCGGGAGAGAGTTCCATAGCCAAGGGGCCACCACAGAAAAGGCCCTGTCTCTTGTTCCCTCCAGACACGATTGTGAAAGTGGCAAGACTGAGAGCAGCCCCCCCCCCCCGAAGATCTTAATTGTCTTGATGGTTCATAGGGGAGAATACATTCGGATTGAACAAGGAAACGGTCAGCGGCCAGCAAGTGTTTCTTTGAATGCCCATTGCTTGGCCTAAATTGACCACCATTGAATGTTTCCTGTCACTACAAAAGCTTGAACACCTGGAAGTGCGTATGAGGAAAGAAGGATTGCCTGCTTGAGTTTCTTTAATGACCTTTGTCTTCCTCCTTTCAGGAACAACCGTCCAAAGTCATCGACCATACATACGGACTGAGTTGGACATGATTTTATCTTGGCAATTTTGTTTATTTATAATTTTAATCGGTATGTATTTTAACCCGTTATTATATGATGTTTTTAGATTGTACTATTAGCATTGAATCCTTGCTGTAAGCCGGTCTGAGTCCCTTCTCTGGAGGTTGAGAAGTTTGGGATATAAATGTTTTAAATAAATAAATAAATATAAAAATAGTGGAAACTTCCTTGCGGCATGCACAAGAGGGGGAGTCTTTCTTTTTTCAAAGGATACACTTGGAGGTACATTTGTTGTAATTGTGTGATGTTGTTTCCATTGCACGCTAACCCTCCGGAGTTTTCTTGGCTAGGATTTTCCCACTGTGGCCTTCCTCATAGGCTGAGAGAGTGTGACATTATTATTATTATTATTCTTATTATTATTATTATTACTTTATTTGTACCCCGCTAGCATCTCCCAAGGGACTCAATGTGGCTTACAAAGGCCAAGGCCTCAACACAACAAGAGCAAACAATAACAATACAATACAAGCAAATTAAAAACATAAGCAATAACAAAAACATTACACTAATATGCAATAAAACCAGGGCTGGGCCAGAATCATGCACTGTAAAGGGGGAAGAGTTGGGAATGTGGTTCTGGCGGTGGACGAACTGGGCCTCTGCCCATCTTCTGCCCACCCGCCAAGACCCCTCTGCACTTACCCTTCATACTCTGAGCCATCAACCCAAGTCCAAATCCAGGACCTTGTCTTTTCTGCCTGTGTTGTTCTCAGTCCAATCCAATGATAACTGTGTCCCAGGAGCCCCTGTGGTCAAAAAGGAAGAAGAAGGGCATGCCGTGCTGGCTGAGGATGTTGCAAAGGGCCACTCCTTTCCCTAAAGGTCCAGGAAGACCTGGACACAGAGCAAAGGGGGACACTCCACCCCCACTGCCAAAAGGCCTCAGGCTCGAGAGAGATTACTCTAAATCTGCCTGCAATTCAGAATGGCAAAACAGAGGAACGTTTTCCCTGGCAAGATTCCTTGAGAGGGGGTTTGGCTTCGTCTCCCTCTGAGGCTGAGAGTGTGTGACTTGCCCAGTGGGTTTGTTAATGTTTGTAATTCAGCAGCCAAGCCCCCTTGTGGACAAAAAAGAGAGAGAGGGAATGTGTGGCTGCTTCTGGTGATTTCCAAAGGGCCTTATCTATGTATTTTTATCCTTTACAATTTAGCTTGTAAATTGCCTAGAGCATCTTGGATGGAAGGCAATTAATAAGTAATAAAATGATGATGATGATGATGATGATGATGATTTTTAAGACTGTTAATATTTGTGACGGTGCGAGTGGCGCCACCTATATGTAGAACTGTAAGTTGCAGGATTTGAACTGTTGTATCATGCCTGATTTTGCCTTTTCCCCCTGTAAATGCATAGTTGGATTGATTGGTTTTTATAGCTGTCAATCAATGTTGTTTGCACCAGTTGAATTGCTCCTCCTGCTTAATTGTTTGACTCCACCTCTTCCTAGAGAGCAGGAGTGTGTTTCCTTTTCCATTCCACCATCAAACTTTCTATCAGATGGACGTGAGAGAGAGACTTGGCTCTGAAGCCCTTGATTAAGTTACCTCTGAGCACCAATTCTGAGGTTCTTACCCTTGAGACTTATGCTTCATGTTCAGATCAACCTGGACGACGTTGAGAAGTCTCAAGCGCCTTCAAACCAGTTCTTTGGCACCAGAGGAAGGCTTTGTGCCTTCAAAATATAGGCCATTGGAATTGGGGTTGTGATTATTCCGATATTCACAGCCCTTGAGAAAGAGAGACCTGGAAAAGCGTTTCAGCTGCAAAACTCCTTGGACCCAAGACAACCAGAGACTGTAATGTATATTTTCCTTTACCCCTTTGAAACTTCCAGCTTATTGCCTTAAAGGGATAACTCTTTGTGAACAATTAAACCTATTTTGAATTATCTACAGTGTTTTGGTCCTTGGGAGTTCCAGTTCTCCTAAAGGAGGGCGAGAAGCAATCCCCTGGGGCAAAGATGTCACGTCCATGCCTCTTTCACTAAGAGTTACAGCCCCCAGGCACGACAGCACAATATTTAATTCTGTTTTAATGTTTTAATTTAAATTCCATTATATTGGTTTTACTGTGAGCCCCTTTGCATGTCTTCTGGAGACAAAGTGGGGCATAAATAAACGTCATTATCGTCGTCGCCCTCGTCTTCACTGCGTCATCACTGAGGGATCAATGTTTTCATCTCTGTTCTCAGTGTTTAAATATGTATTTTATAGAAATCTGTTTTAATATGTATCTTTTATAGAAATACATTTTAATCTCTTTACAATCCTTAGAATGTTTGTGTGTTTTAACTCTGCTGCAACCTGCCTTGAGCCACGAGGAGCCACGAGTAAGAAATAAAACAATAATACACAAGGTTTCATTGGCGCCTGAGCCCTTCTCTACTTTTCTTGTTTACCTTGGAAGTGTTTAGCTGTTGAGCATTGACTATTCTTACCTACCTTAGAAGCTTCCATCATAGTTGGGCATCTACATGGTAACACTCTCCCCAAAAATTTGTAGTTCACCAAAGGCTCCAAAATAAATACATGATTTCCCCCTTTTAAAAAGACACTCTCCAGACTTGTGCAAGTTCAAAGCATCAGAAGATCAAAACTAGACCAGTAACAGCTACCATATCTATCCCCTTCGTCAATTGTATCTATTAGGGCTGGGCGGTTTCGTTTCGTTAATTTGTAATTCGTTAATAATTCGTTATTTTTTTTAATTACAAAACGATAACGAACCATTCTGGAGCAATTTTTTTAAAAAACGAATTTTTAAACACGTTTTGTAAATGCTTTGTATTTCGTTATTGTATTCGTTTCGTTATTGTTCTGAGGTCGTTTCGTTATTATTTCCGCATGTCTGGGGCAAGTTTTTTGTTTAATTAGTGAAAAAAAATTATAATATCACACCAACAGTCAACAACAGAGGGAGAGGGAAGCTTCAGAAGTTTTTGGAGGTTTTTTAGCGTATTTCGCGGTCGCGTCCGCCATTAACGAATCGATTTGTTATTGTTTCGGAAATCGATTCGTTAATGTTTTGTAATTTTTTCACATTTACGAAATTTCGTAAATATCGAACTTTTTAAAAGGAAAATTTTGTAATTATTTTAAATAACGAAACGCAAAACCCCCCAAAAAACGAATCGATTTTAGAAACAAATTTTTCCGTTGTTACCCAGGCCTATTATCCATACTTCCCTAACTTTTTTCTCTGTGTATACTGTATCTATGGCCCAACTTACCTGTCCGAACGCATCTCCTCCTATGAACCAGCTAGGACAGTGGTTCTCAACCTGGGGTCCCAGATGTTTTTGGCCTTCAACGCCCAGAAATCCTAACAGCTGGTAAACTGGCTGGGATTTCTGGGAGTTGTAAGCCAAAACACCTGGGGACCCACAGGTTGAGAACTACTGAGCTAGGATGTTGAGATCGTCTGGGGAGGCCCTGCTCTCGGTCCTGCCTGTGTCACAGGTACGTTTGGCAGGGATAAGAGACAGGGCCTTCTCAGTGGTGGCCCCTCAGCTATGGAATGCCCTTCCTACAGAAATTAGATCGGCCCCCTCCCTGTTGACATTTTGGAGGAAAGTGAAGACCTGGTTGTTCGAGCAGGCATTTGAAAAGGCAGTGTAACGAACATAGGAATATGGAACAATTGGATGATGAGACTGGAGCTTGATTTTAACTATGAGATGTTTTATTGATTTTTAATGATTGTTTATTATGCTACTGTTTTAATTGTTTATAATTGTTTAATAATGTTTTGAGCATTGAATTTTGCTTTAGTTAACCACTTTGAGTTGCCCGTGGGTTGAGAAAAGCGGCATGCAAATATAGTAAAAAAATAAATAAATATTGCATATATACATACATAGTATAAACTATATTTACCATAATATAACCAGATATAAGTGCAGAGACACATTCACCTCCCCGCTGAGAGATTTTCCGGACAAGAGGGGTGGGCAAACCCCACCCCAAGGCAAGATAATCACCAAGCCTATTGCACTCTGTGTGTCTTGTATTTCTCTAGAAGTATTGCTTATGCTTGAACATTTTGAAGCAAATTGCTGTACTTGCATCTCTTTTGGTCAAATTGAACAAACCTCTGTAGCTTGTCTTCAACCTGGTGAGTTGGTTTCTCTGTCGTGGTCTATCTCATTTTGCATACCCTCGCCAGGCACGGACCCTCTTTAACTGCAGTCCTAGTTAACCACAACATGATCTCTTGGTGAGCCAAGCAAAACTGACCCAAACTTTTGGCGGCAAAAAAAGCCAATGGCATTTTGGCCTGCATCAATAGGAGCCCAGTGTCTAGATCTAGGGAAGCCATGCTCCCCATGCTCTATTCCGCTTTGGTTAGACCACGTTACCTGGAATATTGTGTCCAATTCTGGGCACCACAATTCAAGAGAGATATTGACTCTAAGCTGGAATGTGTCCAGAGGAGGGCGACTCAAATGATCAAGGGTCTGGAGAACAAGCCCTATGAGGAGCGGCTTAAGGAGCTGGGCATGTTTAGCCTGAAGAAGAGAAGGCTGAGAGGAGACATGATAGCCATGTATAAATAAGTGAGAGGAAGTCACAGGGAGGAGGAGGGAGCAAGCTTCCTTTCTGCTTCCCTGGAGACTAGGACGAAATGGAGCAATGGCTTCAAACTACAAGAGAGGAGATTCCACCTGAACACGAGGAAGAACTTCCTGACTGTGAGAGCCGTTCAGCAGTGGAACTCTCTGCCCCAGAGGGAGTGTGGTGGAGGCTCCTTCCTCCTTTGGAAGCTTTTAAACAGAGGCTGGATGGCCATCTGTCAGGGGTGCTTTGAATGCAATATTCCTGCTTCTTGGCAGAAGGGGGTTGGACTGGAGGATGGCCCACCAGGTCTCTTCCAACTCTTTGATTCTATGATTCCATGATTTTGAAGCAAATTGCTGTACTTGTATCCTTTTTGGCCAAATTGAAGAAACCTGTCCTGGTCTATCTTGTTTTGCATACGCTCGCCAGGCACGGACCCTCTTTAACTGCGGTCCTAGTTAACCACAACATGATCTCTTGGTGAGCCAAGCAAAGCTGACCCAAACTTCCCCCAAAGCCTTTTGACTGCTTGATGCAGTTGGGGTGAGAGAGGTTGCCCCTTGTACCCCATTGCTAGACATGCAGGGACTGACCATCCCTTCTGGCCCATCGCTAACCACGGGGGGTGGAGGGGCAACTGTAAGTCACATGGGGTCTGCCACTCACTCATTAATAATAATAATAATACTTTATTTTTAACCCGCCCTATCGCCCCTAGGGAACTCACCCTGATTGAAGTCCCACCTGATGCCAGCCCCACAGAGACCATTAAAGCCATACCTCAATCCAATCCGGCTTCCAAGATCGGGTGATGAGGAGGCGGGACGACTGAGCTTCACAGGCCGCATTGCATTCTGCCCATTTTTTCCTTCCTGTGGAGAAGAGGAGGCACTTTCCATGGTACAGAACCCAGTCCTCGGGGCACCAGTCTGTAGGGGAAATAAATGTGGGTCTGGAAGGTGGGTTCCCTGGGCAGTGCTGGCCTGAGGGTCTCAAGCTGAGCCCACCAGGCTTCTGTCCGCCATGGCCAATGTACCAAGGCCCCCAAGGGTACTCCCCACATGATCTTAAATTCCTGGAAGGTTCGTAAGGGGTGACACATTTGGATAGGTAAGTTGGGCCGGAACTGTTTAGGGCATTGCTATCCAAGAGGCCTGAGGCGAGGGGAGAGGGGTCTGGGGGTGGGGAGGGGCTGCTCCGGTGTCTCCTCTCACCTTTGGCGACCTGGGCCCAGCTGGCGTTGAGCGCCTCTTCCCTCCTGAGGCTCTGCATCTCCAGGACACCCAGGGCTACCGTTGCCTGATGTTGGCTTTCCGTCAAAGTATCCCTGATGCGGTTCAGTTCCCGTTTGGCCCAATTGAGCTGCGTCTGCACTGCCTGCACCCTCTCTTCCTCCTCTCTAAGCCGCTCGGACAGCTGGACCTTCTCTTCCTCTGAGGTTTTCTGGATCCGCCGGTCTGCAAAAACACAAGGATCCCAGGGAGGCGGTCAGGGCGGGTGCCCCTGAACCCAACTCTGAACCCCGGTCCATTGCCTGCTGGGCATTGCTTCCAGTTAGGGCCCTTCCTCTCCCCACACCACGATGTCATGTGACTTTTGTTCCTGGGTTGTGAATGTCATTTCTTAATTGCTTCTATCATAAAAACATAGAGAAAGTTTATTAAACTGCAAAAACTAAATATTATGCAGGAGGGACATCGTCCTGCAGCACATATTCATTTTTCAATGGACATCTCATCTCACAATATTTTATTTATTTACTATTTATTTACTATGTTTATATACCGCCCCTCTCAGCCCACAGGCGACTCAGGGCAGTTTACAGTCAACATCAAAGGCATAAACTATAATTAAGACAGTTAATTTAGATATAAAATCAAATGAAACAATCAATATCAATAAAAAACATGTGTCAGTTTGAGTCTCCTTGTTAAAAGCATTATCCAATAGCGCCGTCCAGTCGTTCCATTTTTTTTCTCTATGTCTTTTATATTGTATCTGCAAACATTCGCTCAAAAAGCCAAGTCTTGATGTTTTTTCAGAATGTTAAAAGGGAGGGGCCGAGCTAATATCCCTACGGAGGGAGTTCCATAACCGAGGGGCCACCACTGAGAAGGCCCTGTCTCTCGTCCCCGCCAGACGTACTTGTGATGCAAGTGGGATTGAGAGCAGGGCCTCCCCAGAGGATCTTAAAGTTCATATCATCACATTGAAGCAGGGAAGTGTTTGGTAGAGAATGTTTATAGTAGTGCTCAGTCATACTCCATTTAAAAATAAAATGGATGATTTTCCGAAGCAAGGAAGGAGGGAGCAAAAACGGTGATGCAGCCATCCTTCTCTCCCTCTCTCTCGGCTTTCCCATTCAACACAAGGCACAGACATAACACCGAAGGAAGGGAAGGGGAGGGAAGGACTCGGAAAGGCTATTTTCAAAAAAGAAATTGTTTTGGCAAAGGAAAATCTCAGTGAGTGTGCTGGTACAGCTGTACCAGGAGCTCCAATTCTGTTTGCTTTGCATTAAATGTTTGTTTGCAATCCCAGGCTTGGGATTTTGCAGCAGGGTGGCTTCCTGTTATAGTTTGCAAGCATAGGGCAAGTCACCTGTCAATTATCGTTAGGTTCCCTGGTCCCGCCCCTTTTTGAGTTTTGGAGGGAATCGGAGCCTTTTTGAGTCAGTTCTCACAGAGAAGCCTTTCGCACAGGACATGAAACCAAGAGCTCCTGTAGAAAGCTTCGTCTTCTACAGCTTGGCCGGGGAGATACACAGCCTACAGCTTGGCCGGGGAGAAAAGGCCCCACAGCCTGGCTGAGGATCATACAGCCTTACAGCTCCTTTGCTGAAGGACTTCAGCCAGCCATCACCGAAACCTGAACTCCTTTTCCCCTAAAAGTCTACAAAGCTCTGCTTGGTAAGGGTCACTCGCGGAAGCCAGACGCAGTTGGTACCGGGTGCAGGGGCTCCACACCAACAGAGGCAAGTACAGACTGCCCAGATGAGAAGTTAAGCATTTCCCCATTAGTTACAGTTAAGAAGATAGTGCCTGTCCCCTGTGGACAAGATTGCAAGAGCCAATAGACTGTTAAGAAAGCCTTAAAGTCCCTGTTTGTTTTCATCAATAAAGAACTTTGTTGGACTTACTTTAAACCTCTACAGAACTTTGTTTTGGGGAGGTCCAAGGGCCTTTAATCTGAGGCAGCCCCGGCGTCCCGTTGGGCACACAGAATGTATGTCCTGTCTACAGTCTGATGCACAGGCCCAGCGTGTGACAGCACAGTGAGCAAAAGGAAATGGCAAAGTTTTCCCTAACAAGGGTATGTTGGCTCCTCCCACAAATTGGGGAAATGTTTCATTTTAAACCTGAGAACAATGAATGCCATCACATTATAGAATTTGCCATTTTGTCCATCGACATCCAGGTCATTGCCAAAAATCCACTTCCCAAGGAGCTCCTGAAAGGTAGGACAAGAAAGCTGTTCCCAACACTTCAGACACAGAAAGAATGCTCAACCCTACACTTGAACCCAACCTAATATGATGAACACAATAGGTTTCCACTTCTGAAGTGTAGGACTTGGTGGAATTTAGTAGATGTGGTGAAGTTTAGAGTCTCATCCAATTCAGCATAGTTTGTGGCAGCCACAAAAAAAAAAAAAACCCAAAGTTTCTGGAGTTGGAACAACTACGTACCACACAGTTAAACAGTGTGCTTGCTCCATCCATGTTCAACATCTACCCAAATGACCAGCCACTGCCAGAAGGGACAGAGAGTTTCATCTATGCTGATGATCGTGCCATTGTCTTGTGGGGTTCCTCGGGGCTCAATATTGTCTCCCATGTTGTTTAACATCTACATGAAGCCGCTGGGGGAGATCATCCGGAGTTTCGGGGTACGGTGTCATCTGTACGCGGATGATGTCCAACTCTGTCACTCCTTTCCACCTGCTACTAAGGAGGCTGTTCAGGTCCTGAACCGGTGCTTGGCCGCTGTGACGGTCTGGATGAGGGCGAACAAATTGAAACTGAATCCAGACAAGACAGAGGTACTCCTGGTCAGTCGCAAGGCCGAACAGGGCATAGGGTTACAGCCTGTGTTGGATGGGGTCGCACTCCCCCTGAAGACGCAGGTTCACAGATTGGGTGTGACCCTGGACTCACTGCTGAGCCTGGAACACCAGGTTTCGGCGGTGACCAGGGGAGCATTTGCACAGCTAAAGCTTGTGCGCCAGCTGCGCCCGTACCTTGGGAAGTCTGACTTGGCCACGGTAGTCCACGCTCTGGTTACATCCCGTTTAGACTACTGCAACGCTCTCTACGTGGGGTTGCCTTTGAAGACAGCTCGGAAGCTCCAACTAGTCCAACGCTCGGCAGCCATGATTTTAACAGGAGCGGAGCGCAGGGAGCATACAACCCCCCTGTTGCGCCAACTCCACTGGCTACCGATCTGCTACCGGGCTGAATTCAAAGTGCTGGCGTTGGCCTTTAAAGCCCTAAACGGTTCCGGCCCAAGCTACCTATCTGACCGCATCTCTGCCTATGAACCCACCAGGAGTTTGAGATCTTCCGGGGAGACCCTGCTCTCGATCCCGCCTGGTTCTCAAGCTCGGCTGGCGGGGACGAGAGATAGGGCCTTCTCGGTGGTGGCTCCTCGGCTGTGGAACGCCCTTCCTACGGACATTAGACTAGCACCATCTCTAATGGTATTCCGCAAAAAGGTGAAGACCTGGATGTTTGAGCAGGCGTTTGAGTAATTTAGTGCAATCTGGTAATGGAACATAGGAATGGAACAATGGACGACGAACCTGGACTACGCTTGGATGATGAGAAGATTGGGTACGGTTGTTTTTGTAATAATTGTGCATTGTAATTGCTTATTGGTAATTTATGGATAATGTGTTAAGTCAATTTGTTCTATGTTGTATGGAACCACTGCTGTTTCTACTGTTTTTACTGTTTGTGAACCGCTGTGAGTCGCCTTCGGGCTTGAGATACAGCGGTATAGAAGCAAAGTAAATAAATAATAATAAATAAATAAATTACTGCTCAAGCAGGGAACTTTGAGACGGTTGAACAAAAGCTCTCCGAAGCTCTAGGTGCTCTTACTGCCTATTACAGGGAAAACCAACTGATCCCCAACTCATCTAAAACACAGACATGCGCCTTTCACCTTAAGAACAGACAAGCATCCCGAGCTCTGAGGATTACCTGGGAAGGAGGGAATCCCACTGGAGCATTGCAGCGCACCCAAATACCTGGGAGTCACTTTGGACCGTGCTCTGACCTACAAGAAGCACTGCCTGAACATCAAGCAAAAAGTGGGCGCTAGAAACAATATCATATGAAAGCTGACTGGCACAACCTGGGGATCACAACCAGACACAGTGAAGACATCTGCCCTTGCGCTATGCTACTCTGCTGCTGAGTATGCATGCCCAGTGTGGAACACATCTCACCACGCTAAAACAGTGGATGTGGCTCTTAATGAGACATGCCGCATTATCACTGGGTGTCTGCGCCCCACCACTGGAGAAATTACACTGCTTAGCCGGTATTGCACCACCTGACATCTGCCGGGAAGTAGCAGCCAATAGTGAAAGGACCAAGGCAGTGACTTCTCCAGCTCATCCCCTGGTTTGGGTATCAGCCAGCACGTCAACGACTTAAATCAAGACATAGTTTTCTCAGATCTACAGAGACACTCGCTGGAACACCTCAGCAAGCGAGAGTCCAAAAGTGGCAGGCCCAAACCCAGCACCTCAATCCATGGGTGATACCAGATGAGAGACTGCCCCCTGGGCACACAGAAGACTGGGCGACTTGGAAGGCGCTGAACAGACTGCACTCTGGCACCACGAGATGCAGAGCCAACCTTAAGAAATGGGGCTACAGGGTGGAAGTGGAATCCTCGGCATGCGAGTGTGGAGAAGAGCAAACCACTGACCACCTGCTGCAATGCAACCTGAGCCCTGCACATGATGCACAAGGGAGGACCTTCTTGCGGCAACACCAGAGGCACTCCAAGTAGCCAGAGACTGGTCAAAGGACATTTAACCAACTACCAAGTTTGCAAAATCTCTGTGTGTTTTTTCTTTCTTTCTCTTTTTAATCTGTGTGTTTGTTTTGTTCTGCTAGAATTGTAACACAAGGGTATGGTTGCTGATGACACAATAAATAAATAAATAAATAAATAAATATTGCCAAGAATCCACTTCCCAAGCAGCTCCTGAAAAGTATGACAAGAAAGCTGTTCCCAACGCTTTAGCCACGGAAAGAATGCTCAACCCTACACTTGAACCCAATCTAATGCGATGAACACAATAGGTTTCCACTTCTGAAATGTAGGACTCAGTGGAATTTAGTAAATGTGGTGAAGTTTAGAGTCTCATTCAATTCAGCATAGTTTGTGGCAGCCACAAAAAAAAAAAACCCCAAAGTTTCTGGAGTTGGAACAACCACGTACCGCACAAACAGGAAATCACACTTTCAAACCAGGAACAGAAAAAAAATCACAGTTTTGTTAACATAGTGCAACGGCTTGCAGGGAAGATGGTGGCGGGGGAACAAGATATAAATACATATAAATAAGAGAAAGGTTTAAATCAATATAAATACCATCACCACCACCATCATCATCATCTGGGTGACTTACAGTGGACGCCAAGGCCTATGAGGGCAGCCAGGAGGACGAGGGCGGCTCCTGCAAATCCCAGAGCTGCAAACCAGGCCGGACGCTTGGCCCCTGCAAGAGAAGCTGGGACACCTCAGTGATATCAGGCAACACCCCCCCCCCCTCATAATTAAGGGCAAGGGCACCAGACTACACAACAAGGGTTAAGTCTTGGCCACATTGCCAAGGCACTGACAACAACAAGGACCCCACGAGGTTTTGTTTTTTTTGGGAAATGGCTGGATCTTGGGACTTCTGCCCTTTTGTGAGAGTTGTAGTGCCCCAAGGGCTGAGCGATGGACTCTGCAACCAAAAAGCCATCGATATGGTTCAGATATGTGGATGACACCTTCACCATTTGGAGCCATGGAGAAGAAGAACTCAACAGGTTCCTGGACCATCTCCACAGCATCCACCCAAACATATGGTTCAGATATGTGGATGACACCTTCACCATTTGGAGCCATGGAGAAGAAGAACTCAACAGGTTCCTGGACCATCTCCACAGCATCCACCCAAACACATGGTTCAGATATGTGGATGACACCTTCACCATTTGGAGCCATGGAGAAGAAGAACTCAACAGGTTCCTGGACCATCTCAACAGCATCCACCCAAACATATGGTTCAGATATGTGGATGACACCTTCACCATTTGGAGCCATGGAGAAGAAGAACTCAACAGGTTCCTGGACCATCTCAACAGCATCCACCCAAACATATGGTTCAGATATGTGGATGACACCTTCACCATTTGGAGCCATGGAGAAGAAGAACTCAACAGGTTCCTGGACCATCTCAACAGCATCCACCCAAACATATGGTTCAGAGATGTGGATGACACCTTCACCCTTTGGAGCCATGGAGAAGAAGAACTCAACAGGTTCCTGGACCATCTCAACAGCATCCACCCAAACATATGGTTCAGAGATGTGGATGACACCTTCACCCTTTGGAGCCATGGAGAAGAAGAACTCAACAGGTTCCTGGACCATCTCAACAGCATCCACCCAAACATATGGTTCAGATATGTGGATGACACCTTCACCATTTGGAGCCACGGAGAAGAAGAACTCAACAGGTTCCTGGACCATCTTAACAGCATCCACCCAAACATCTAGTTCACCATGGAAGAAGAAAATGAAGGAAGACTGCCTTTTCTAGATGTCCTAGTCATCCGAAACCAGATCAACAATTGGGTCACACCGTCTACAGAAAACCCACACACACAGATAGATATCTACACAAAAACTCCAACCATCACCCAAGTCAAAAAAGAAGCACCATTAAAGCCTTGGCAGACCGTGCAAAAAGAATCTGCGAAGCCCACCTCCTCCAAGATGAACTGAACCACCTCAACTGGGCTCTCCAGGCCAATGGAGACTCCACCTCAGACCTCAGAAGAGCTGCAAGACCAAGAACAAGCCACGAGAGTAAAGATGAAGATCCACCCAGAGGAAAAGTGTTCCTGCCATACATAAAGGGAACCACTGACCGCATAGGGAAGCTGATGAGGAAACACAACATACAAACTATCTACAGACCCACCAAGAAAATCCAACAAATGCTACGTTCAGCAAAGGACAAGAGGGATCCTCTCACCTCTGCAGGAGTCTACCATTGTATACCATGCAGCTGTGGACAAGTCTACATAGGGACCACCAAACGTAGAATTGCCTAAACACGAATCAAGGAACATGAAAGGCACTGCAGACTACTTCAACCAGAGAAGTCAGCCACAGCAGAGCACCTGATGAACCAGCCTGGACACAGCAGATTATTTGAGAACACAGAAATGCTGGACCACACCAACAACCACCATGTCAGACTACACAGAGAAGCCATTGAAATCCAACAAGCATGTGGACAATTTCAACAGAAAGGAAGAGACCATGAAAATGAACAAAATCTGGCTACCAGTATTAAAAAACTCTAAAATTATAACAGCCAAACAGCAGAGAGGAAAAAACCAGGCACAGATTAACACCTCCCAGCAACAGATTTTCCCAGGCTCAGGCAGGCCTTCAAATGCTAATGAAGGTGATCAGCTAAACATTCACACCTAACTGCAGCAGAGAGCTCCTTGCCCCACCCCAGTCATTCCACAGATATATAAACCCATTGTCCTATTTCCAACAGACCTCTCAACCTCTGAGGATGCTTGCCATAGATGCAGGTGAAACGTCAGGAGAGAATGCCTCTAGAACATGGCCTATAGCCCGAATACAACAACCCAGCAGTTCTGGCCATGAAAGCCTTTGACAATACCTGAACCCTTGTTTTCTTATTTTCGTAAACAAGCCTCTCCAACTCCTCGAAGCGTGGGATGCACCCACCTGTAAGTTGGCCCATTCGTCCTCTTTGGGCAGGGATATAAAGGGACGTGACAAAGCCACTGAACAAGGAGTTCCCCAGGCTATGCTGAAGCCTGTAAGATAGATGCCCGAAAAAACCCACAAGAACCTAGTGACTCTGTTATTGATCAACTCAGTGCCCATCTGCTGACTTCTGCAGGGAGAAATGACTCTTTGCTGCCTGACTTGGACTGCAAACCACCTCCGCTTCCACGAACCTTCCCCAGGAGCATGGGATTTCCAGTTCTTTTAATAAATCAATATTGCAATAAAATAATAAAGATGTGGGGTGGGAAAGGGAATTTTTATATGAACTTTGTATGCATGAGATGCCATCCGCTTCCCTGCCTCCCCCTTTTTCCCTCTTGACCTTTCCCTTACAAAAAGTGGCCAGGAACTGTTGCAATGCTTGGGGGGAAATCCCTGTCTCATCCATTGATTAACTCATTTGCATGAGACAATAACTGTTGATTCCCTCATCCCGTTTTCTGAGCATGACTAGCGGGAAGAGGAGGTCAACAGAAACTTGGAAAAAAGAATGGATTAAATTTACAAAGGCAGCGTTGATCCCTTTTGAGGTCCACTATCTGACCCAATATTTTCTTCCCCCAAAACCATTTCCAACAGGAAAATCTTTGTTTACAGCGGTCACACCTTGCCGGCCAAGACAAAGCCTCACATTCCATTCTGGCTGGCAATCTGTAATCCCATCATTTCCCCCTTGCCTGCGGTTGTCCCGCCTGGCCTGCTTCTGATTCGTAAGGAAAGCCTGCTGATTGGCTCTCCAGGGGCAGAGGGCGGGAGGGACATTTGAAATGTTTTATTTATTTATTTATGTATTGACTTTGCTTCTATACCGCTGTATCTCAAGCCCGAAGGCGACTCACAGCGGTTCACAAACAGTAGAAACAGTAGAAACAGCAGTGGTTCCATACAACATAGAACAATTGACTTAACACATTATCCATAAATTACCAATAAGCCATTACAATGCACAGTTATTACAAAACACAACCGTACCCAATCTTCTCATCATCCAAGCGTAGTCCAGGTTCATCCTCCATTGTTCCATTCCTATGTTCCATTACCAGATTGCACTAAATTACTCAAACGCCTGCACAAACATCCAGGTCTTCACCTTTTTGCGGAATACCATTAGAGATGGTGCTAGTCTAATGTCCGTAGGAAGGGCGTTCCACAGCCGAGGAGCCACCACCGAGAAGGCCCTATCTCTCGTTCCCGCCAGCCGAGCTTGAGAAGCAGGCGGGATCGAGAGCAGGGTCTCCCCGGAAGATCTCAAAGTCCTGGTGGGTTCATAGGCAGAGATGCGGTCGGATAGGTAGCTTGGGCCGGAACCGTTTAGGGCTTTAAAGGCCAACGCCAGCACTTTGAATTGAGCCCGGTAGCAAATCGGTAGCCAGTGGAGTTGGCGCAAGAGGGGGTTGTATGCTCCCTGCGCGCCGCTCCTGTTAAAATCATGGCTGCCGAGCGTTGGACTAGTTGGAGCTTCCGAGCTGTCTTCAAAGGCAACCCCACGTAGAGAGCGTTGCAGTAGTCTAAACGGGATGTAACCAGAGCGTGGACTACCGTGGCCAAGTCAGTTTTCCTTTGTATTTTTGCTATAAATACGCCTGTATTCCTTGTATTGCTATGCTTGTGGTGGAATGATTCCTGCAATGCATCCGGTATCAGCTGAATCGCAAATAAACGCCTCGGTCGCTTTTAAAACCTTCTTCCACTTTGGTGGGGTATTATTATTATTATTATTATTATTATTCTTAATACTTTAATCATTTGAGATTGGCTTCGCTGGCCTCACCAAGGTATCCAGGGCCCTTTTGGCGCGGTCCTCAGGGATCTCCCTTGCTGGGAAGACCCTCCACAAAAGAGCTTGATATCATTAGGACTGCAGAAAGGTGACGACACCACCAGGAAAAGGGTTCCCCTGGGGTCATGACCCCACCCCTGCCTGGGTAGGAATTATTTATTTATTTATTTATTATTTACTTCTAGGGAAGATCTAGGGAAGTCCTGCTCCCCTTGCTCTATTCCGCTATGGTTAGACCACTTTACCTGGAATATTGTGTCCCATTCTGGGCACCACAATTCAAGAGAGATATGGACTCTGAGCTGGAATGTGTCCAGAGAAAGAGGGCGACTCAAAGGATCAAGGGTCTGGGGAACAAGCCCCATGAGGAGCGGCTTAAGGAGCGGGACATGTTTAGCCAGAAGAAGAGAAGGCTGAGAGGAGACATGATAGCTGTGTATAAATATGTGAGAAGAAGCCACAGGGAGGAGGGAGAGCAGATCAAGGGTCTGGAGAACAAGCCCTATGAGGAGCGGCTTAAGGAGCTGGGCATTTTTAGCCTGAAGAAGAGAAGGCTGAGAGGAGACATGATGAGAGCCATGTATAAATATGTGAGAGGAAGCCACAGGGAGGAGGAGGGAGGGAGCTTCCTTTCTGCTTCCCTGGAGACTAGGACGCAAGGGAGGAATGGCTTCAAACTACAAGAAAGGAGATTCCATCTGAACATGAGGAAGAACTTCCTGACTGTGAGAGCCGTTCAGCAGTGGAACTCTCTGCCCCGGATTGTGATGGAGGCTCCTTCTTTGGAAGCTTTTAAGCAGAGGCTGGATGGCCATCTGTGGGGGGTGATTTGAATGCAATATTCCTGCTTCTTGGCAGAATGGGGTTGGACTGGAGGATGGCCCAGGAGGTCTCTTCCAACTCTTCTAGGATTCTATGATTCTATGATAAAGCAATCTTGCTGCTATGACACTAACCACCAACCCCACATTTCTGCCCCCCTTATTAACTTACTTACTTACTTGCTTACTATATTTGTATCCCACCCCTCTCAGCCCGAAGGTGACTTGAGGCGGTTTACATTTGGCAGTCAATGCCCCACAAGATAAAATACAGTCAAAGCAATCACATATAAGATAACCACGTAGAAACAATGAACAGTTAAAGCCATGAGTCCCTCACTCACCTGCCTTCTGGTCCTGGCGCCTGGACGCTTGGACGTTCTCATAGGTGAGGTCCTCCAGACGTGTCCCTGGGGCAGCGTGAGGGAAAGGGGTTAGGAAGGCTGACCAAGGGGGCAGCAGAGGGGGAGAGATAGGGGATTATGGGATCATTCCAGCCTTAGCAAAACGATGATTTCCCTGGGCTATGTCTCTGTACCTTCTGGGCGGCTCTGGGTGAACCTCAGGTCGGCATAGGTCACGTCCTGCGGCATCCTGTGGGACCCCAAAGGGGAAAGCCTCACGCAGAGAGAGACCTCAGTGCGGCTTGTAGAGCCGGGTTCTCAGTGGAGACAGGATGTGGTTGATGGATGGCACAGTGAGGAGTCACCCCTGGCGTCACTGGGAGCCTTGCCTCCTCCTCTGCCTCCTCCTTCCTCTGATTGATGGGGAAAGCCCACCTTGCAGGGAGGGAGCGGAGGAAGGGAGTGTCCACACACAGACAGACACGTTTGCCTTGATCTGAGCAGGAGGTCTCATGCAGGCATGGGCCAACTTTGACCGTCTAAGTGTTTTGGACTGCAACTCCCACCATTCCTAATAGCCAGTAGGGAGCTGAAGTCCAAAACACCAAGGTGTGTCCATGCCTGGCCTAATGGCTCTGTAGTCCTTCCCTCTCTTCTCTGAGAGTTAGAGGAGTTGGAGGAGAGCCCAAGGGCCATCTAGACCACGCCTCTTCTGCCGGGAAGGAACACCCAGTCAAAACCCTCCTGACAAATGGCCATCCGGCCTCTGCTTAAAGACCTCCAAAAAAGGATTCCCAGGCAACAGCAGATTCCGCTGCCAAACAGACTTCTTCTTGTCGGTTGGGACTTCTCCTGTTCTCCAGGAACTCTCAAAGATGATTGCCAGGTGTTCTGTTCTGCTAGTTCTTTTAGTCCACTTGGGTAGAATTCATCTGGCTCTGGAGACGTGAATGCATTTAGATTAGCCAGGTATGAGATCGGAGGTGACCCCCCCCCCTCAGGACTCTGTAAAAGATAGTTCAAAATCAGGGAAATCATAGGGTTGTTGTAGGTTTTTTCGGGCTGTATGGCCATGGTCTAGAGGCATTCTCTCCTGACGTTTTGCCTGCACTTTGGCAAGCATCCTCAGAGATAGTGAGGTCTGTTGGAACTAGGAAAAAGGATTTATATATCTGTGGCATGACCAGGGTGGGACAAAGGACTCTTCTCTGCTAGAGCTAGGTGCATAGACCCGGTGAGCTTGCAGTGTTTTGAAAGTCCTTTTGGCTGCGAGAAATTGTGGGAAATCATAGTTTTCAGGGAAATCATAGTTTTGCCAAGGACACCAGGCTGGAATGATCCCACAATCCCCTATCTCTCCCCGATGTGGGAACCTGAGGCTTTTTCCATGGCCCAACTCTTATGGACTTTCCATGAACTTTCATGAACTTTGTAGGAACTTTTATAAACTCTTGCCAAACTTTATGAACTTTTATGGACTTTGGGGGACTGACGTGATTTTCCCTTAGACCTTGCATGATTCCCTCTCTCTTTCTGTGAATTCCTTGTATGTTCCCTTGCCCCATTCCCCATCCCCTATGTGTATGTCTGTTTATATGGAAATATGAAGGAAAGCAACCTTTTTTTCTCAAAAACCAGCAACTCTTGACTCTGGAAGCCCCGACGTTTCCTGAGTTGATAATCCCCAAGCCTACTTCCATGGACAATAAAGTAAATGGCTCTTATCAGACCAGGCTTCAGAGGGCAAAGCTAGACCACCTGGAATGATAGGATCTATGGACACTTTAATCACTCAACACAAAGGGCATCTTCCCATCTGCGAGGAACCAGGAATTTTGCCACAGCCCCTCCATTGTGTCAGTCCTGACCAGCCAGAAGCCAACATTAACTTCTTCAATGGACTCCATATCTCAGCACTGTAAAAACAAAGGACGTAGCCTCTAGAGGCTAGACCAAGACATCAATGCAAAGAATTAAACAATAACCTTGGCTAGGCTTGAGAGCCTAAAGGTTATCGCCCAGCCATTTGGCAAACATTGGTCACCTAAATCCTGACAACTAGGCATTTCTTCATTGTTTCCCTGTTGCCCGCCTCCCTTCCCCCTCATTGGCTGAGTGGCCAAAGCAGGGCTCAGGCCGCCATTGGCTCTCCTGCTGGATTGCTGATGTCACAGCCAATCATAACAAAGCCAGCTCGGGGTGGGGGAGGGGGTTGATGGGCATGGGAAGTTTTGAATCTGAAGGCTATACATATTGTATCTTTTTACCCAGTGGGCATTTTGATTTTGTTGGCAGATTACTGCAATCATCATCCTTTCCAGCTGGAATGAAATAAAAACTTGGGTGGCTTTCTCTTCAACTTGATGAGATTTATTTTGCTATATTGGCTTCTCTTTCTCACCAGGTAACCCACAATGGCTTGGGTCTATCCACAGCCATTCTAAATTGCTCGACAACAGGTATTCCTGCGCTGCCTCTTTACCCTTTCTGTGCTGCATTTCCCTTCCTGCGTCCTCTGCTCCTTCCTCCCCAAATGGAGCCTTGTTCACCTTTTGGAAATAAGAAGACCGAGGCAAAGAAGGTGTGGAGTAGTTCTGCCTTTCCTCTCTCCCCTCTTAGCATTTCGCCTGTATGCAGTGGCTCTACTATTTCCTTGTTCTTCTTGTTGTGATGGACATAACCAAAAAGGCGCCTTTTATTGTTTTCAACCTCTTTAGCAAACCTGAACTTGCTCTGCACTTTGGCATGACTTTATTCTAGCATATGTGGGCTATTCGTTGGTTGGTCCATGGGCAACAAAACCCATCATCCCAAATCAGTGATAACTGGGCTGCCGAATATTGAGCTTTGATGTGTCCAAAAGTGGGAGAGATTGCAGAGTGGTTGAAATCACGTCCTTGGACTGTGAGGTGTTGGCCAGATTGGTGGCCTTGAATCAGGATGGACCCCGATTGTCTCCTTCCTTCCTTCCTTCCTTCCTTCCTTCCTTCCTTCCTTCCTTCCTTCCTTCTTTCCTTCCTTCTTTCATGGCAGGTGGGTACAGCGCACGCCTCTCCTTGCTGAAAATAGCTTGACCACTTGAATTTGGCAGCCCCGAAAGGGGAAAGTTTCACTGAGTTTCACTTTCTGAAGACCTCGTAAGCATCTGTGATCATCTCTTTAAAAAGGGAGAGGGAAGGAAGTTGTGGGTTGAAATATTCAAATGGAAAGGGAAGCGAGAGTAGAAGACTTTCCAAAACCGATGCAAGTCACATCTAGGCAGATTAGAAAAAGATACTTTGAGTTACGTCAGGACTGGACCGTAGTTCAAGGGCTAGCTGATCTCTCTGCCCCCTCCCCAGGCTTAAGCCTCCATTATGGTGGTCTCCCCCCCCCCACCACCACACACAGTTAAGCAGAGGTTGTATGGCCATCTGTCTGGAGGGCTAGGATTGTGTTGACATCAAGAAATCAGACCCCCAAATTATAAAATAGATGAAATCCTGGACCTAGCAAGAGCGCACACACTTTCCTCTTTTCTCATGAATTACCCCTTGGAGTGCTGCCTCAACACGTCAGACCCCATCCTTCAGTTTGCTTAGATGTGAGAGGAAACATCAGAGTTCCTGGGTCCATTTCCTGCTTCCATAGATAAGATCAGGACTATCAGCAGGAAAGACCCGTCTCCCATGCCTCAAGCCAGCCTCACCCATTGGAATGTCCCTCACCTTTGAGCACCTGTTGTGCACCTGGAACTGACCCCACTGTGTTGACTAAGGCTAATCAATTAAATCACACAAGGGTCAACTTGGGCTCTTCCTCCAGGTGTTTTGGACTCCAACTCCCAGCATTCCTAACAGCCTCAGGCTCCTTCCTTTTCCCTCTCAGCCGCTTGCAGCTGTGGACAAGAAGTCTCCATAGGGACCCCCAAACGCAGCAGCATTGCCCAAACACGAATCAAGGAACACGAAAGGCATTGCAGACTACTTCAGCCAGGGAAGTCAGCCAGAGCAGAGCACCTGAGGAACCCACCTGGACACTGCAGATTATTATTGGAGAAGACAGAGATGCTGGACCACTCTCACAACCACCATGTCAGACGACACAGAGAAGCCACTGAAATCCACAAGAAGCATGTGGAGGAAACCATGAAAATGAACAAAATCTGGCTACCAGTACTAAAAAAAAAACTCTAAAATTACAACAGCACAACAACAGAGAGGAAGCCATCAGGGACATCTAGTAATCACCTCTCAACAAAAGATTGCCCCAGGCACTGCCAGGCAATCAAATGCTAATCAAGGTGGTCAGTTGAAACATTCCCACCTAGCTCCAGCAGACAAGAGTCCTTTGTCCCACCCTGGTCATTCCACAGATATATAAATCCTTTTGCCTAGTTCCAACAGACCTCACTGCCTTTGAGGATGCTTGCCATGGATGCAGGCGAAATGTCAGGAGAAAATGCCTCTAAACCATGGCCAGATAGTCCGGAAAAAACCTACAACAACCCAGTGATTCCGGCCATGAAAGCCTTTGACAATATATATTTGCAACTGACTATTTGACTAACTTTCAATAAGAAAGCATTGTTTTCCTATTCATTGAGTGATGTTTTAAATTCAGAGGGTTATTCCTGTCCTGGAGTGCAACAGGAATGAACATTGAAACAATTAGTGAGAGAGTGCTCACTAATGCTTCCTCTTCATCCTGGAAAGAAGTGACAGCGGAGTGCCATCAGCAGGGTTCCGTCCTGGGCCCGGTCCTGATCAGGATCTTTATTAATGACTTAGATGACGGGCTAGAAGGCAGGATCATCAAGTTTGCAGACGCAAATTGGGAGGGATAGCCAATACTCCAGAGGACAGGAGCAGGATTCAAAACGATCTTGACAGATTAGAGAGATGGGGCAAAACTAACAAAATGAAGTTCAACAGTGACAAATGCAAGATACTCCACTTTGGCAGAAAAAATGAAATGCAAAGATACAGAATGGGGGACATCTGGCTCGAGAGCAGTACGTGTGAAAAAGATCTTGGAGTCCTCGTGGACAACAAGTTAAACATGAGCCAGGAATGGGATGTGGCGGCAAAAAAAGCCAATGGGATTTTGGCCTGCATCAAGAGGAGCCTAGTGTCTAGATCTAAGGAAGTCATGCTCCCCATGCTCTGTTCTGCCTTGGTTAGACCACTCCTGGAATATTGTGTCCAATTCTGGGCACCACAATTCAAGAGAGATATTGACAAGCTGGAATGTGTCCAGAGGAGGGCGACTAAAATGATCAAGGGTCTGGAGAACAAGCGCTATGAGGAGCGGCTTAGGGAACTGGGCATGTTTAGCCTGAAGAAGAGAAGGCT